TAGTTGGTACAGGGTGTAACAGTTTTTCTTTCTAAGAAATACTGAAAGATTCCCTCTTCAATTTTGTGTACAAATTTATTTTACCTGCACATCATATGTTTAAGAGTCAGAGTAATGATTCATGATCATTTCTATTTCATGAAATGTTTTGCTACTTTCAAAAGTGAAAATACTTCATATTCATAGACTCATATTATGAGATATGTACTGCTAACTCAGCAAAAATATCTACTCAAGAGAATTAGATAATCTTGTCACAATGACAACTATAATAGCCATGGATTAAATAAAAGCCCTGCAGCAGAGAAGACAAAAATACCGATGTGTGATAAAAAAAAAATCTCTTTGAAACATTTTACACTTTCACATTATTCAATATTGCCCCAGTTTCACATGAGGGCAGAGGGTGAAGAGAGATGGAAGGTGGTATAATAGTTTCATGTCAGGGTGTGGATTTTTGTAACTCTACAATAAAGCCCTTTTTGGAATGCACGGTATGGCCTGGCCCAGCCAGGCTCTGTTTGACCTTTTTTCATCAATACGCGAGAGTTTAGAGCGATGCATGCTCCCACGACAATTCTCGGCAGGCATGCCTTTCTCGGCATAACACCGTTTCTATTGGTCGTTTTGCAATGAGCTGGATACGTCATGTAAATCAAATTCTTGCAAAAGCTACCGAAGCAATCTCCCCAGTGACCGCAGATCAGTTTCCCTCTTGGTTCTCTTGTCCCGCTCTCTCTAAATGCACTCATGAGTGAGGAAGCAAAGTTGTTTTTTTTTTTCAAAATAACATTGAGTAGTTGTGAAAGTTTTAATTTAGAAATTAAAGTGTAAGAAAAACAAAAATGGAAAGCTTGTGTGTCATATGTACACAAAAAGAATGACACCAAGGCAAAACTAGTTAAGACATTAGTCAGAGCTATATCTATAAGCAGCATACTTTGAGGTGTGTTAGTGAGTAATCTGCTTTTTTATTTGATTTAAACTACTGGATTTAATTATAAGGATCCATCATCTGAGTGTGAAACAAAATTCTGTGCTCTAAAAATGACAATATTCAGGCATATCTCATGGCAATGACTTACACAGCTATATGTTTGCACTGTGAAGAGAAAATAGATGTGAGATGTGTTTCTGATTTTTGAAGAACTCCTAAGATTCATTGTTGTTTTATTTGCGTATATGGCTTTTTTTTTTTTGCTCTATTGCAATGCATGCACCAACAAGCTGTAAATAATTACCATACAGCTCTTTTTGTTCTTGACCTAGTTCAATCATGCACCTGTGTTTTTTCTCACAGTGTTATCAAAGCACACCTGTTGCATATGTTAAGACCAATCTAGGAGATATGACTTCTAGTGACTTACAGCATGTTGAAATGTATTTGTAAACATATTTTGTAATCTTTCTTAAACAAAACCAAGAGTTATAGTGTTGTTTGTTGATGCCTGGTTATATTTTTTCCAGCCTGAGCCAGTTGTCCTATGTTAGCCTATCCCATTGATATCACAGTTCTACAGAGAAATGGTTGTGACATGATGGAAACACATGACTTTTTGATGTATGCTCAAAAATGAGTAAGCAGAGTAAACAAGTTGTATTACCTTGCAGGTCAGAAAATATACACATGGACAAAATACCTCCTGTGTTAATGACCAAGAAAGTCCACTGTGGTCCTGAAATCAATTTAAATTGATTAAAATACTATTATCAAAAATATATTACAATTTTTTTTTGCATATTTTTTTTATTGTAAAAATGAATATCAGTATATGAATGTTTTCACTGAAATAAAACTACAAAATAAGATTAATTTAAAAGCTTTAAAGATCACAGATAAAAGCTGTAATAAATGTAGAACATTTTATTTTTTTATGTATGATATCTGGAGTCTCAGGGGTTAAGGACATCCATTGGCATCTGCATCAGAAATGTAGATGGTTTTGAACTTTTCAAGCAGTCTTATATGCTTCTCTAGTTCAGTCAGTTGCTCCTCCATGTGGATCTTGCGGGCTTTCTGCGATGGGGTGTACAGGATGAAAGGAAGGCCCTGATATTCATGATGCACTTCATGCCATTTCTTCTTCAAGCCCTAACAAGAAGACGGGAACTTGGCATTAGACATTATTCGATATTTACATTCCTTTGACTTCCTCTGTCCAATTTTATTTACTTCACCAGAGGTTTTAGTTGTTAGATGTCTGTTGTTAAAGAAAACAAATGCTGCATACCTCTATGGTAGCTTTTCGCTCTTCCTCTGACACTTGTCGTGTGGCCTGCATCTCCTTTTCAAGTCTCGCCTGGTCATCCCTAGCCTGCTGTTCAGCTGCACGGCGCTGTTGTAAGTATGTGGGTACCTGACCATAATCCTGCAGGAACGAAAAATAAGCTTCACGTCCAACTATAATTTGCTCAAATGTTCAAATGGCCTCCTACATGGAAAATGTGGCTGTTAACAGTTGGACTTAGGGAGGTTCTGAATATTATGCCATGTTCAATTCATAAAGGAGATAACATCCGAGTGCTGTTGGTCAGTCACTGAAAGGTTAGGAGAGAGAAATAGCACTCATGGCCCAGGACTTGTCAACATTAGCCACACTTTTCAAAGAGTGAAGTGACAGGATGCAGAAAAATACCTTTTTTATGATATATTTGGGGCTAAGTCCAGCGCTTTGGAGAAGCTCTTTGTGTGCCTGTGCAAAGTCTACACGAGAGGGCTTAGGCTTCATCAGCTAAGAGATCTCTCTTGATTGGAGTCAGTGGTTGGTTGGCCAGTATATGGAGCGGTGGCCTTACTTTAGTGATCGTACTGGTTTTATGGATGCCTTCAGTCCCTGTCCCTAAAAAAAAAGCATATATCAGGTGGGTTATATTGACAGCACAAAAGCAAATCCTCATGCAGTTGGTTGAGGAACTAACTCTCAGGAGCTTTGGGGCGCTTTGCGTTTTTCTTGAGGTAGTTCGACGGAGAAGGCAATTCAAGTTTTGCTGGTCCCATCGTCTTCCAAGCCTGTTTGACTGGTTTCTGCTCAAGCAGAATAGCTGCCAGATGCTTGGGTACATACCTTTAGTAAGATATGATGACAGAATATACTCAATAACACTTGAGGAAAAAAAACAAACAAAAAGAAATAAAACAGAATTCTGAAATCTTAATTCAGTAAAAGTAGCAATATTTCATACTCATGTTACTCAATTAAAAGTAAAAACTATCGCATAAAAAAACTACTCCTAAAAGTTTTTTTATTTGTTTGTGTATTCGTTTGTCTTTCAAAAAGTTAGTCAAGTAAATATAACTACTTACCTCTGGTCACACATATAGCTTTAACAAATTGTTAAATAAATGTAACATTGCCTGGTTGTTGTAAGTTAGGCCCTGTTTACATGGCAATAATCCAACGAAAATTGAATTTTTGTTTCATTTCTATTAACACATTTACATGAAGCCATTCTAATTACAATCTTTGTTTACACAGTAACGGTACACATCGAAAACGTGTAATGCTCTCGTCACGCCACTAGTTGGTGCTAGGTTCTTTGAAACTAAGTGCGCATGTGTTTAAAAAACAAAAGTTTTACTTGAAAGCACATCGATTCGCATTTCCCCATCAGATACCGTTCCCCCAGATACCGGGAGAAAAACACGCACTATGTGCGTCAGATGAGGGTGCGGTTGAAAAACCCGCACCCTAATCAGGTGCTGATTGCGGTTGGAATCAGGTGCAATCAGGTGCACCGGTTGGAATCAGCAACAACGCTTTGCTGAAACACGTTGTTTGAGCTTTTACGGTGTCCGTAGTTCTCTAGATAAGAGTGCGGAACAAACACGTGTATTTTGCAACCTGGGTTTGGAGCGGCGAAGAGACGCTGAGGGAACCGTATCTGATGGGGAAACGCGAACTGTAACAACACCATGTCAGTAGTTTCTTCTTCTTCTTCTATGTTTTTGCGTCATACTCTGCAGGAGCTAGGGATTCCCAGGGAGAAAAGATCCATTTCCTCTGTTTACAAGACAACGGACACCTGTACGTGTCAGAACCATAGCACTATGGAACCCGTTTTCAATCTGGGCAATTTTCTGAGAAAACATTCGGTGGGTTCATGTAAATGTACTGTAAACGCAACAAAACGTCCATGCTCACCAGAAATTGTTGTGTAAACAGGGCCTTTTATCTGCAACGTTTGTGTTATTGTAAACAACAAGAGAATCACTCTTTTCTCACGTAAGTCTGGCAGAAATAAAAGTCAGTCACCAAACACAGTTTCCCAACACGTAGTGTGTATGTAAAGGTTTTTGTGAATTTGGAAACAGTTGTTCTTTATTCCCCAAGGTTATGGAGTAAAGAGAGGAAATAATGGATGATTCAGCAGCCTGAAATATTCTGTTCCCCCTCCATAAAATGGGAACAAATTATTTTACCTGCAAATGCTTAACTTTGCTTATTCCTCTCATCATCAACAATAAATCCCGTGAATTTGGTAGAATTTGTTCTTTGCTAGCCAGAGTTATGGGGGGGTAACCATATATTTCAGCTGGCTAAAATATTCCGTTCCCCCGCCATAAAATGGGAGCAAATTATTTTACCTGCAAATGCTTAACTGTGCTTATTCCTCTCATCATCAACAATAAATCCCGTGAATTTGGTAGAATTTGTTCTTTGCTAGCCAGAGTTATGGGGGGGTAACCATATATTTCAGCTGGCTAAAATATTCCGTTCCCCCTCCATAAAATGGGAACAAATTATTTTACCTGCAAATGCTTAACTGTGCTTATTCCTCTCATCATCAACAATAAATCCTGTGAATTTGGTATCATTTGGTCTTATTTTGCCAGAGTTATGAGGGGGGAACCATATATTTCAGCTGGCTAAAATATTCCGTTCCCCCTTCATAAAATGGGAACAAATTATTTTACCTGCAAATGCTTAACTGTGCTTATTCCTCTCATCATCAACAATAAATCCTGTGAATTTGGTATCATTTGGTCTTATTTTGTTTTCTTTATTCGACATTGAGTTTTCCACAAAAATACAGGCTACAGGAAGATCTAATAAACCATGAGTTTGGTAATGATTGATTAAAGTGGCTCAACGTCGCCTTTTTGTTGGCGTCTTGGATGCAAGTGATTGTCCTTTTCTCTTTTTTGCTCCAGAAGTCTTGGATTTTGATGGCTTGGTCATATTTTCTGATCCTGTTGGTTGAAATAAACAAAGACTGAATTTCACAGTTAATCAGATATAAAAATGGCAAAGTGATGCATTCATGATACCTGGGAAAAGTTTAATCCTCAACAAACCATAAACTTTAATATCTTCAATGTGCTTTTCAGTGCATGTTTTGTAAAGTAAAAGGAAGATAAGATAGTTTTTGCAAGTATAGATGTGAGTTTTGTGTATTGTGCGTATGTACTCATTAACAATGCCTAAATCCAGTACAACCAATTGATTTCAGTGTAGACCCACTGTATATATTTTAAGCATCAATTAGATTAACTTGAAGTCAGAATGACATTAAGATTTTGAGGTAAATGGAGGATAATCCTGACCAAAAAAAAAAAAAAAAAAATTCTAAAAAACTACAAACTGGGCAGGAGTTTCACCTTTCACCAGGGGAACCCTAACTATACAGCCAGGGCTGCAATGGAAACGTTTATATCAGGGTGGGAGAAAAGTCAAATAATTTAAAATTTGAGTTGAACAGTTATCCAGATAGATAACATAAGATGAACTCATCTAACGTCTATAAGTTTGTTGTCAACAAAATAAATGGTACCTTTCTTTGGGCTTTTTCTTTAGGGGATCTTTTTCTTGTTCGCGGTAAAGCCTTCTTCTTTGGTTTTACTGCTTTTTGGACAGTCTCCAGCTCCACCTCCACAGGATAATGATCACTGATGTTTCCAGCCTTGGAGAGTGAAAACATAAAATTATAAATCTTTGCACCTACTATGTGCTCTAAAATGTCTGAAAGTGTCAACCATTTCTCTGTGATGCAGTATTGCTAAACAATGATGACAATAAAGCATACGTTTTCGTCTGTTAGCCCAAACTCCACTTGAAAGTTGAAAGACTTTGCAGAGTCAGGAACAATGGCACCCAGCATTTCTTCCCCATACACCACAATCCTATTTGAAGAAGATAGTATCACAAAGCAGTTTATTGGTGCAGTTTTCAACATATCTCCAAATACATCTACACATTTACATTTACTTATAAAATTATTAGATAGAACTTTTAGCAACAGTAGACATGTTTTGCAGTTCATGATTTTTTAGAGGGAATAAAATTCAACAATACAGACTCAGTCAGGTGAAGAAAGTATGCTATTTTTAAGATCTAACTGAGGCAGGGCACAATCCTAGAGGTCACCAGGGTCTGATACTAAATAATGAGGGGATCTATAACAAAAATGACAAGATAAAAAAAATCTATAAAAATCAAGGTAATTCATGGGAGGTAATTTACTGTAACCTACCTGTAAACCTCAACAAGCTTAGACAAATTTTGAAATGAGAATATTGAAACATCCTTCTCTAGCAAGATGATGATTTCAATTTATTTCAAGGAATTAAATATAAGGAATTTATTGTTATACAAAGTGTGATAAAAATGTGCACAGTGTGTATTCATGACACACAGATGTGATGTAAACTCGTTATCTAATTCCAAGACAAAGTCATTTTTATTTTGTCCTGATTCAGGACAAAATAAAAGTAGCAATCTGTCGTTTTATTAATGTTGTAGAAACAAAGATAGGTGTCCTTGGCACCTAACATGTATCTTTACCTGTCGTAGGTGTTGTCATTATAATTACTAGTCGTGGTGTCAACATCGTCATCTATCAACCAGTAGAAGGGATCAGAAGAGATGCGGATTGATTCCTTTTTCTTCTTGGAAAGATATCGACCATCTGCGTTGAAGTCCCCCAATATCATGATATTCTGCCAAGGACAAAAAATAAAAGTCAAAACCACACATTACTGTACACAAGTATTTAAAGTAGTGATGATTGTTAGTGTTTGTAAGCAAAACAGCAATTTTACATTTTATCCTCCTCCCCCAAGATTTCTTTCATTAGTAGACTTCTCAGTTTAGTGTTAAAAGACATTAAAAAAAGATCCCACTGACCTCTTACTGTTTGTAATAACAGAAAAAGTCCATAATAAATGGGAGAAAACCATGGCGTTATTCAATGAGTGATTTACCAAGCACATTATCCAGCATCTCACTCACATTTTTAACAAGACAGTGACCCTTGGAGTTTGAAAACTCTCTCCTCTGAGTTACAGTGGAGAGACGGCTGAAATGATTAACTTTTGGCTGAATTTTAGCAAAGCTATTAATAAAAACTCTAATATTACCTTACAATTTTCAAGTTGCATATCTTTATATAGAATGTAACAACTTACATTTGTTTTCCACTGTCTGACAGCATTGACCACATCGTAAAGCTCATCAAGTTCCTTTACTGAGTCTTCTGGCTTGGTGTGGACCGGAATCAGGACCAGGTCTTTTACAACTGAAAGTGGACATGAAAGCAAATAACATAGACCCAGATCCACAGTGCACCTAAATAGATGTGAGCTCAAATAAATATTTAGGTTTAAAATAAGTAGAGGCCTCAGTTTAGTGTTTTCACATGTCATGTCAAAATGTCTCCTATTTCACATGATCTCAGTCCTTTTAAGCCCCAAATAAAACACAACATTTGACCATACATTCATAGCCGATATGTTTATAACAGTTATCCATAAGGTACAAACTGCAACACATACCACATTGGATGGACGGATGGATTATAATTGTATGCAGTAATATAGGAATCAAAGTATGTGCATAAAAGTAGCTTTCATTTTCAAACTTATACACATTTGGAAAATATTTAGTCAAATTTCATATGTTTCCAAACTGTGTAGAAACCCTGTCATATCACTGTAAAAAACTGACATATGGTAGTATTTAGTAATGATAATCTGCTCTCTCTGGTGCAGCACAGGACCATATATATTCATTACTGTATGACTTTCTGAAGTGCTCATTACAAGAACATTTTTCATGACTCACCATTAGATTTGAATGAAACAAATGTTACAGGCTTATAAAGATAAACCACAGTGGTTTGACTGCAGTGAAACCATGATCTTGATGATTTAAAAGAATTTAGCTGAGAATATGTTGTAATATTTTATAACCTAACCTATTTTATAACCTAACTTAAGTAAAACTATAATATTGTATTTTTAGTGTAGGGAGAGTAAGAGTAAGGGTTTCATCGTGACTTTTACAACTTATCTATCATAGAATGAGTCAAATGAATCTGTCATAAAGAAAGGTAGGATATGAAGACTGGCAAAAAGAGCCGTCATCATATCCTTGCAAATTGTCTGATGAACTGTTTTGTGCACTGTGAGCTGGCGTTTCATTAATGTGGAACAGCACACACCTGTGGAGGGACAGCAGAAGCGCAGGATGAAGGGCTCTCTTGCGAAGGCATCTTCATCTCCAACCTGATTGTCTTCATACTGATACTGAGCTGTAAGCTTGATCATCTCTTCTCTGAAACACAAACAATAATAATAAAGTTTGTTTACTGTATTATTAATACGATTTTAAACCTTCTTGAGTGCATGAGAAGTCACATTTCTGGAGGGATTTGTAGAGTTTTACTTCTCAGAATGCATCAGAAACTTCATAAAATTGTACTAATTATTTAAAGCATTGATTTAGCAGGGTGTCAGAAACATCTCTCAAACATTTTGGTCAAGATTAGTCAGATGTACATCCAAGATGAGGACCCCAGAATTCACAACATTCTCAAGGTGTTTTAGTAGATTGAGGCCTGCTCACTGTGGATCCCATTGGAGTTTAATGTCGGTGGTATTTTCAAAAAATCAGTTTGAGTTGACCTAACCTAAGTGGCATCACACATTTAATGACCAGAAGATTGAAAACTGGTCATTAAAGGATGGACATGGTCAGCAAAGTTGGAGGATAACACTCGGTTTATAATATGTCACTACGGTGTAACCCACATAAAGGGGATAGCCTTTTGGGAAATAGAGATTGGGTAGGCGGAGTAGTCTGCCTGGCCAATGAGAAGTTTGATTCCATGAATGTTTAGACCAATCAGAGAGCGGAATGCCACAGAGGCTCCACCTTCTTTCCCGTGTTGGCAGCGTTGATTGTGAGCGGGAGATCTGACGCTGATCAGACAGCTGAGCCAGAGTGAGAGTCTTTTGGTTTCTTTCTAATATCATTTATTGACTTTGAAGGAATTTTTTTGTTGTAAATAGTTATTGTTTAAATCCAACTTATAATTTAGAAAGAGTGATAAGTTTCAGAAAACTGAACTTCAGTTTTTCTGCTGTTAGAACCACTAAGATCAGTTGGAACTGTTGCACTTTCTGGCAGTTGATTGGCAGTTGTTTTCAGTTCAACTGAAGGTACAGCCTATATAATAATGTATTTTTATTTTACTTAATTCATTTTCTTTAAGTTAAAACTTAAAAAATATGCATTTTACACTGTCTAGTGCCCTCCGTGTCTGGAATGAGAGTCCCTGTCTAGTTGTTTTGAACGTGCCTCACTGAGATCGGTGAGCATATTTTTGTACCTTTCATTTGGTTTTTGTTCTTTTATCTTGTTGTCAAATACAGATCATTATTTGACCTACTTAGTTATTAAAACGTGAACCTTTGCTGAGTTTGTGTAAAATGTAATGTTTATTATTGTTCTTGGAAAAGGATTTTTCGAACAGTTATGAAACATAATAAGCTAGAATGGTTTAATAATAATTCTATGTTTCTGCTGGTCTTGTCTGTTGACAGATCAGGGTTTTTTTTTTGTTGTTGTGTTGTTTTTGTTTTTTTGCTTTTTCTTCTCTTCTCCTGGATTGTTCCTGGAGTGGATTCCCTACTGACTTTGATGGCGAGCCTTCCCACCTGGACTTAGAAAGATCTGGATTTCCTCCCATGATGAGAGCCTTCCCACCTGGACTTAGAAAGATCTGGATTTCCTCCCATGTTGAGTGAGACCTGAACCAGGATTTAATTTGATTCCTTTGTCATCTAAAAGAGATTAGAGCGCAAACTACCAGGATGCACCCAATAGATTTAAATTTGATATTTAGCACTTGGCCAAGTATTGTTGTTTTTATTTCATTTATTTTATTGTGTGTAATTTTATTTTCTTAATTGTATGTCTTGTCCACTTGTGAGTTTATGATTCATGTTACTAAAGCTAATTGTTTTTTAAATTCACTCAACCGTGTATGTGTGTCATTTAAACACCCATCGTGCTCCGACAGCCGAACCTATTGGCCCATCTACCTAAAACATATTGTACCCTTCTCAACTGTGTTACAGGAGAAGCTTTGGCGAGCCAGCCAGGAGCACGAGTGTGTGTGTTTAATTGTCAGACATCTTTCACGTATTGTTAGAGCTTGCTAAGTATTTCTCAAAAAAAAAAAAAAAAAAAAATGGATGTGGTACTCCGGGAGTCCATCCAAATTCCCCATTCTTTGGTTGTTAGTGGCTTGACAGGGTCAGAAATAGATGAGGAAGTATCAATATTTCTCCAGAAGTATGGTTCCATTAACCGTTACATTCACTTAGATGATCCAGAGTCCTACCCCACAAAAAGACTCGACCAGCAAAAGAAATATCCCATCTTCTGAAAACCCTCAGTCAGTGACGGCTACAGATTCCCCGATTTTGACACCAGCAAATAATCCAAGTAAGCCTCTCAACCCTTCCATTTTCAGTAAAAACCTGATTGATCTCAACCCCCCACAGACTTTGTCATTCTCATCTGAATCCACTACTACGCCAGTAATCGATGTTAATCCACATGCAGTTCAGCGAGTGGTGGTTGAGCATGTGGTGCGCAGCAGTGATACCTCATCCCAGTTTGCTTCACCCAGTAGACTCAGAGCTTTTTCAGGCAAGAGTCCACGTCCAAACCATGAAGCAGATTATGATACATGGCGTGCAAGTGTTGAAATTCTTATCAGAGATCCATCTGTGTCAGACTTGCATTGCACACATCGTATATTAGACAGTCTTCTTCCTCCTGCTTCTGAAATGATTAAACATTTGAGCCCACAATCTAGTCCCTCAACTTATCTCAAGTTGCTTGACTCCGCCTACGGGACGGTTGAAGATGGTGACGAACTTTATGCTAGGTTCATGAGCACGTTCCAGAATGACGGAGAGTTACCTTCTGTTTTCCTGCAGAGACTGCACACAGCCTTAAGCAAAACAATGAAACGTGGTGGTGTATCCGCTCCAGAGTTTGATCAACAGCTTTTAAAGCAGTTCTGTAGAGGCTGTTGGGAGAACGCTTTAATAGCCGATCTTCAGTTAGAACAGAAAGATAAACCTCCTACTTTTGCAGAATTGTTGCTCCTTCTTAGGACAAAAGAAGATAAACAGGCTGCAAAAATGACTCGATTGCGACAGCATTTCAACCATGCCAAGTCTGGCCACATCCACAGCAAGCAGCGTGCCATGTCACAAGTTCATCTTGCATATGACAAAAATGATTTGATAAATAAGACTGATCTTGAGATGCTCAAGCAACAAATTGCTGACCTCAGCCTTCAGGTGAAGAGCATTGTGTCAGAGAGTCAAAAGTCAAAACAACTTAAGCAACAAAAGTCTGTTCCTCTAAGTGTCACACATGAAGCCCATGTGGTGAAACCAAAAACAAGCCGTCAGCATCCTTCCACAATTAAAGCAAATGGCAGACCACGTCCCTGGTACTGTTTCCAGTGTGGAGAGGATGGCCATGTTGTTTCAGTCTGTGAAAATGCACCAAATCCTTCCCTTGTAGCAGCTAAGAAAAAACAGCTGAAAGAAAAGCAGGCTGCTTGGGAAGCCTCTAATGCTTCTCAAAGTGAGACACATTTAAACTAGTGTCTGCTCCCATAGAGGGACACATGGGAGCAGAGATACAAAATTCCAGTCCCAAAACCATGAAAGCTGTTGTTAAGAGTGTTGGGGTAGAAAGGTTGAAATTGCCACATGGCCTGGTGGGAACTAAAACTACAGCTCAAGTGTCTATTGCAGGGAAAGACACAAACTGTCTGTTGGACACAGGTTCGCAAGTCACAACTGTGCCCCAGTCCTTTTATGAAGAACACCTTTCTGATCTGACCATTCATTCTTTAAATGATTTGCTTGAAGTGGAGAGTGCTAATGGCCAGTTTGTTCCCTATTTAGGATATGTTGAGCTTACCATCACTTTTCCTAAAGAGTTTGTTGGCTCTGATATTGAGAGCGTAGGCATCTTTGATGGTCTGCATATTCAGCTTTCTGTAATCTACACACAGACGAACAGAACCATTCTTTTTGCGAACCACAACAATTGGAGAAGCAAATGGAGACTCAGATTCCCGTATGACTTCAGAATCTAGGAGTTCCTGTATATGTTGTCTCACAGCATCTACATCGTTGGGCACCTGTTCATGGGCTCTGCAGCCCATGAACAGGTGCTTATAGGCACAAACGCACTTGATGTTCTTTATGCGGATTACCAGAAACTTTCATCTTTTCAGCCTTTGATGAATGGCTATCAGGCTGTTCTCAAAATACTTGAGATACGACAAAGGGAGCTTATCCACAGCAGCCTTGGTTGTGCAGAACTAACAGGCAAGCTGCCTAAAGTTGTTCCTGCAAGGCAGACCGCTGTTGTTGAAGCTTTTGTTCCATTTAATCGTTTGAACATTCAGAGAGATGTTATTCTTGAGCAACCATCAGCTTCTTCTCTACCGAATGGTTTACTCGTTTCAGCGATTGCAGTAACTTTACCAAGCAAACACTCATGTCATATTCCTGTCGTACTGAGAAATGACACCAATCATGACATAGTCATTCCCCCCAAAACCATTGTGGCAGATGTTAATGCTATAGTACAGGTGTTGCACAAAGAACATACTGTCAACGACTCAAAACTGTCCTAAATTTCAAGCAAAGTCTTCCCCATCACTGAACTTTGATTTTGGAGATTCACCTTTATCCACTGAATGGAAAGAGCGAATAACAAAAATGTTAAACACCATGCCAAACGTTTTCTCTCAGAATGACCTGGATTTTGGCCATACTGATAAAGTGAAACACAGAATCAAGCTCAGTGATGAGACGCCTTTTAAGCAGAGAGCACGTCCGATACACCCCAACGATGTAGATGCTGTGAGACAACATATACAGGAACTCCTAGATTCTGGAGTCATACAGGAATCTGAGTCTCCATTTGCTTCTCCAATTGTTGTGGTTCGCAAAAAGAATGGTTCTGTTCGTCTGTGTGTAGATTACAGAAAGCTGAATATGCAGACCATCAAAGATGCCTACGCTCTTCCAAAACTGGAAGATGCTTTCACTGCACTTGCTGGTTCTAAGTGGTTCTCCGATCTAGACCTCAAGTCAGGCTACTATCAGGTCGAAATGCAAGAAGCAGACAAGCATAAGACTGCATTTGTGTGTCCAGTTGGATTCTGGGAATTCAACAGGATGCCACAAGGAATAACAAATGCGCCTTCAACCTTCCAAAGACTGATGGAAAAATGTGTTGGCGATATGAACCTAAAAGAAGTTTAGTGTTCATTGATGACTTGATTATTTTCTCAGCCTCCCTGGAAGAACATGAACAGCGCTTGCAGCGTGTTCTTGAACGATTGATGACATATGGTTTGAAACTGGCACCAGAGAAGTGCAAATTTTTTCAAACGTCAGTAAAATACCTTGGTCACATTGTTTCTGAGAAAGGAGTTGAAACAGACCCTGAAAAAGTTTCGGCCTTACAGACTTGGCCGATCCCCACAAATCTTAAACAGCTTCAATCTTTCTTAGGATTTGCTGGATACTACCGACGGTTCATTCAGGGGTACTCTACTATTGTAAAGCCACTTAATGAACTAACGTCTGGTTATCCACCACTCAGAAAGCTAAATAAGAGACAGAAAATAAATTCGAGCTCAGAGTATCGCAACCCAAAGGAGCCTTTGGTGAGCGGTGGACACCTCAATGTCAGAAAGCTTTCGATGACATAATAAGTAAGCTAACTCAGCTCCAGTCTTGGGTTTTGTAGACCCCCAGCTTCTGTATGTCTTACATACAGATGCCAGCACTGTTGGCCTTGGGGTTGCATTATATCAGGTTCAAGATGGTCAATCTCGAGTCATAGCTTTTGCGAGTCGAGGACTTTTAAAGAGCGAGAGGAAGTACCCGGCTCATAAGCTTGAATTTTTGGCTCTTAAATGGGCAGTCACAGAAAAATTATCTGATTACCTATATGGTACAGACTTCACAGTAGTGACGGACAGCAACCCACTTACATATATTTTAACATCTGCAAAGCTGGATGCGACAGGGTACAGGTGGTTGTCCAGTCTTTCTACTTACTCATTCAGTCTTCAGTACAGGGCGGGAAAGCAAAATCTTGATGCTGATGCACTGTCTCGCCGACCTCATGATCCACCAAAGGATGATTATGCATCCAAGAAGGAAAGTGAGAGAATCCGGCAGTTCACATTGTACCATCTGAGCAATCCTGACAGTCCAGAGACTGTTCCCCAGGAGGTGATTA